TTCTGATTGGCTGGGCGGATTGCAAACCACGCCCCGTAAAACTCCCAAAAAGTTTTGTGAAGCCGCCATTTTATTATCCTCGCATTAGCATTATTAGCATTATCCCAGCGCAGAAACGCAGAGAGACTAACTTATGGCAACACACAATAAAACATGGGAGCGGTGGAGATGAGGAGGTGTCGGCGTTCTGGCGATTTACTCGGAAGGCTGCTGGGACTCCCAGCAGCTTCTACTGAAGCCAGTCCCCAACTCCGGGGACTTCCGGCCGGGGACTCCGGGCGGCAGTATACGCCGTGAAGTGGTTTGCGGCCTGCCAGTAAACCCAAAGCAGAAGAAGAAGAAGTGACGTCAGTGGCTTCATTTGCCTAATCCTCCCCCAGGTTCAAAGAGTTCTCATGAACTAAGTTCTCATGAACCTTTGTGGGAAAAGTACTGCGGTGTGAATGCGCCTAATGGTATACTAAAATCCATGTGAAAAAAATTGCTTCTCACTGTTCTCAGGTCAAATATGTATATGTGATTAAAAATGCGATTAATTTCGATTAATTAATTACAAAGCCTCTAATTAATTAGATTAATTTTTTTAATCGAGTCCCGACCCTAATATATATATATATATATATATATATATATATATATTAGGGCCGGGACTCGATTAAAAAATTAATATATAATATATATATATATATATATATATAATCTCATTAAATGAGGAAGTTTGAAATCATACTTGTACGGAGTTGGCCTTTTTTTGTTTTGCCACTGCCTGGGTATTACAATTTCGAGCCGCAAGCAGTTGGAAGTGTGTCCCAGTGCACTGAGTACAAAGTCAATTGAAAAAAATAATTGACAGGTTGCCAGTCCATCACAGATCTGACACAGCGGGTCACTTCTTATTTCTGCTGTGCCCAATTTCAAGTTGGCAAGTCACCTCTGGAATCTGAGGGAAACCAGGGCATTGGAGGGAAAAAAGGTTTTTTGATTGTATTCGAAAGCTTAGAGCGGAGTCACTCAAAAAACATCTTTGACAAAAATGACAGGTTGTTTTTTGCATGTTCTGACAAGACATGAGAACAAATTGTGAAAAGAGAAAGGGGTATGACGTGCAAAAAGTGTCCGAATGCCAGAAACTAACCTGGGCCGTTGCATTTATACCGCATGCGCTGTAAGCACTTGGCTTTCAAGGCAATTAAAGGACGACAGTCTTTTGAGACACCCTTGCAATTATGTCTGCACCTTAAAACATATTTTCATTATCATTAATTTGTCTTTTAATTGCTGGGTTATTTAATAATTAGTAGAAATGCTAGAGCCCAGATGACTCCTCCTTGTTGTATCCAACCAGCAGTCCCAAATTCAAAGATATTGACTGTACTCTCTCATAACATGACAAACAAACAGCAAATTGCCCCATTTCAGAAGCTAGGAAGCAGATAATGTCTGTCATTTCTTTATTGTAAAATGATATTGATTCTCCAAATTGTTGCATATTATTTTTCTCTCCACCGACTGTTTGATGAATGAGCCAACTGCTCCGCTTTCAAAAGCACTGTTGGGCCAGTTCTCTTAAGTGTCATTATTTATCAACTTCTAGATTACATTGTTTTCACAAAATGTTTATCACCTTTAAACCAAGCATGAAAAGTCTGTCCATTTTTTAGAAAGGATCAAAATAAAAGATGTAAAATGCTAGGTTTACTATACTTGTATCAGTAAATGTACCTAATTTTAACACACAAAAACCGTTTTCTTGTCATTTTCAGTAAGAGCAATGAGGGCGCGGCTTTCAAAGAGGAACATTTAGCAGCCATCACAGACCTCCAAGAGGCGCACACAAACGCTCTGAGCAAGATGGCAGACATCGTCACAGAGCTTGAAAGGTGAGCACTCCAGTTGTCAGTATTCCTGGAATTATGAGGTCAAATTCAGTCAATGTGTACGCTTCACAGGATGCTTCTCTACTGCTTTTTCAGCGCCAGGGATGCTCTGCGGGGGGCAGAGGGAAGACGGGAAGAACTGGAAGCGGAGGTGGAGAGGGTGACGCAGCAGGTGGAGGAGATGGAGAAAGGGCTTCAACAGAAAGAGGAGGAGGTCAGCCGACTTAAGGAGGGACTAGAGGAGCGACAGTTAGCCGAAGCAAAAGCCAGGGATGATAATTCAAGGTATGCTTCCAATTCCCTTTGCGTAGAAATAACTCATTCTTTCAGTTTTTTTCTATATTATCTTTTTTCCTTGACTCATTAGGAAGTTGCTGGAGGTCCAGACTTGCCTTGCACAAAAAGATGAGGAGATAAAAGCCATGGAGACGAGCCACGCCGCCCTGATCACTCAGCTACAGCAGGACATACAGCTACAGACAAAAGCGAGAGAAGAGGCTCTGGGGCAACTAGAGGCACAGAGAGGTCAGGGTCTAACTCAGCTCCAAAAGGAAAAAGCCCAGACACTGGTAGAGGAGGTCCGCCAAGAGAAAGAGGAAATAATGGAACAGCTCACACAAGAAAGAGAAGAGAAGTTTGAAATTCAGATAGCTCTACAGGTGGAAAAGGAAGCATTGGAGGTTGAAAGGGAGGAGCACCAGCAGGTCAGGTCAGAGGTGCTCAGACTAAACGCAGAGATTGAGAGAATAGACGAGGAAATGAAGAGTCTTCTGTCTCAAGTGGAAGTCAAAGAGCAGTCCAGGCTCGCTCTGGAAAATGAACTAAACGTGGCAGAGCAGGAGAGAAATCGCCTGGAGGAGGTCGTGCAAGGCGGCGTGAACTTCCAGGAGCAATTAGACATGGAGGAGAAGACCCTGACTCTGCAGCGCGAGTTGGAGGAACAGAGACAAGACAGGCGGGCTCTGCAGGATCAGGTGGAAGTTCTGACTCAGGAGAAGGTGACGCTGCAGTGGGAGATGGAGGAGCAGCGGCAGGAACTCAAGAGACAGATAACTGAAGCCCAGGAGAAAAGGTGAGGAAGTTTAGATTATTTTTGTGTGCGCAGTTTTTAATTGTGTGTTTTTTTTCTTCTTCAAATTGCACCTTTTAACACTTCGTTCTCTTCTTCTCAGCTCCCACAGTTCAGAGAATGAAAAGTGGAGGAAACAATATGAGGAGCTTTTTGTGAAAGTCAGGCCCTTCCAGGTCAGTTATCAAAAAGAACATCGATTATCATCTTTTATTAAATCTGGATTAATCCATGTTTTTATACTAAATGGAATCGTCTATCTCTGCAGTTCCAGCGACAGTTTAGTAAGGATGCAACCAAGAATTACACAATTGCATTTTTACTTGCTGGTTATTTTCCTAGAATAATGATTGATCATTTAGTGTTTAAAGTTGAGAAACTGGGAAGAACATGTTTTCTCATCCATAGTGATTAGATTTCTGTTTTAACAGTCAAAAACCCAAAGATGTTCCATCTAACACAATTTAAAACAGGATTGAGCAGGAAAAAGACACCATTTTCCTTCACTTTCCCGTGAAAAATTACTGAACAATTCTCCAAATAGTTGCCGATTTTTTTTTCTGTGTACCAACTCATTTTGGCAGCTCTACATTTTAGTGTCTTTCAGCTCATTATTTTGGTTTTACAGATTCCACTGTTTTGATTTAGTCTCACTGCGCTAATTAGCAGTGGTGTGTGCACAGCTTGTTTCATTTCCCCAAATTGGGGAGAACAACAGTTTTATTCCATGTTTTAGTTGAATTAATTTAGTGCATTAAAACCCTCTCATGTACCCACAGGAACAGCTGAACGCGTTTGCAGCCGAGCGAAACGCACTACTCAATGAAAATGGAGCGAACCAAGAGGAGTTGAACAAGTTGTCTGATGCTTACGTCCGTCTGCTGGGCCACCAGAACCAGAAGCAGAAGATCAAACATGTGATGAAGCTGAAAGACGAGAACATCGCCCTGAAGCAGGTGAGCTCTACCAGAGGAGCACTGACTGCACTCCATTCCTCATACACTTTGTCGCAATCAAAGTGCCTGTACTCTCTAAAATGTGTTTGTGCGTGTAGGAGGTCGCGACGCTGCGGTCCCAGGTGAACCGGCAGAAGTGTGATCTGGAGCAGCTCAAGTCAAACCCCCCCGCTACTCCTCGCCGCAAGTTTGATCCCAGCAAAACCTTCAAGCACGACAAGGAGAACATGACAACTGAAACTCTTAAAGGTGAGTGCTAAACGGCTACACCCTGAACATATATGCGATCTTAGGAGATATGACAATATGTAATATAGTTGAATGTCACCTTAAAATATTTGTGTGAATGCCTAATTCTTTTTTTCTATTTGTCAGGAAACCATTATGCATAATGGAGCTCTTCTGCCAGACGGGAACTGACTACTATATTACATCTAAAGTTATGGTTTTAATACTGATTTGTATGAATAAATTGTGTCCCATTTTGTTCCAACTGGTTTTCTTCTCAGCTGTTTTAATGCCAGACTTTTACATAGAGCCAGCTAGTTTTAAAAATAATTGTAATGAGCAGATTGTACGTGTGCAGGAAAAGAATGAGCAAACAGATGGCTGCAAATAGACACATAATCCAGAGGACAATGACACAGTCAGCGTTTAAATATGAGATGTGAATTTATTTTGTATTCTTTTAACTACCTATTCTTAGGGCAGGGGTAGCAGAACAGGGAACATTTCATGCTGTATAGCTCTTGTTTTAATCTTTTCCTCTTTGTAAATAAAGACAGAATCTAACACTCTTCTTAAACTGAGATTTATTAACTCCCCAAGTGAAAACACTGTCATGTCTGTGTTGAGCCAATAGATGGCACTGTAGGACTACAGCCACAGATGGAGCCAAGCACCAGTCTATTGCGCACATCCACACTTTATATCTGCTACAAAGAACACAAACTCACTTCTCTACAGAGAGGAGCCTCGGGTTATGGGTCATGAAGCTTTATTTCCTTTAGTTAATACGACATAGCCAGCGAGTACCGGGTCCACAAATTGACTTTTTACAAGCTATGAGTGGTGCTAGGCTAGCTGTGGAGAGATGGGTCAGTTGCAGTAGCCCTCCAGGTGGTAAACGCTGCACGGCTTATAGCAGCACTGCTCCACGATGCCTCTCTTCACCTTCGTCTCCTTGTGGCCAGAATTAGCCCTCCGCGGCCGCTGCTCCCTTTTAGACAGGAACCCTTTTGAGAAAGATTCCATAGCCGTGTGTTAAATCCTGCTGTTCAAACCTCCAGTGCACTCAAAACTACCATTTAAACTGTTCACACTTTAATGGAGACTAGGTAATCTAATCTCCCAAATCCATTCAGTCTTGTTAGCCTCCACTTCAAGACGAGAATATGACGACGATCCCAACAGAGACATATCATAGCTCGCACCTCTGAAGTTCACTTCAAAAACATTGATGGAATGTTTGATGCGGAACATCCAAATAATGAGTTTTGGGAATGATGTAATGAGGAAGCTGGGGGATTTTTGCAAGTTGCATGATTATTGGATTTGTCACATCATAGATATAAATCCAAAAGCCCTAGCCACAACAATGAGAATTCAAAAGAGACCGGAGACGGGTTTTGCACACTAATGATCGGACAAATACATAGATTTAGTTTCAAGCAAGTTATTTTCTCCACTAGCTAGGATCCAAATTGGCATTCTCATTATGCTGAGACTGAACTTTGAAAGTGGGCAGCGTGCTGGGACACAACTAGCCTTGTATGTCGGGGGCAATGTCGCACTGTTCCTCTCTGAACTCCTGCCATCAAGGGGGCCATTCGAACTTATTTTCCACAAGTTAAACATAGCTATTCCTGGAGTTTACTTTGCCTTACCGAGCATCTCTTCCAGATCTCGCTTATGAGGTCGGTTTGGACTTTTAAAAAAGTGGGGCTGAACCTTCACCATGGACAATAATCTCTTATTTTGTAATGCCATTTATAAATTGAACTCTCACACAGAATTTTGAGGTACTTGTTGTTTACTTGAGTATTTCTCTTGTTATGCTACTTGTACTTCTACTCCACTACATTCATTTTGTACCTTTAGTTACTTTACAGATCTGGATGAATGATGTGAAATATAATAAGTGTTAAATCAGACTTTAGTTCCACCTGGAGTAAATCCACAAGCTACCCTGCAGTATACAAAGTCATTCAAATTAGCTGCACCTTTACCAGCTTTGAGAACACTTTAATGCATCAATACATATAATCAAAACAAATCTAATATTTTTTAATCTGAAATGGACCAATCTGCATGAGTACTTTTACTTTTGGTATTTTAAGTATATTTTGATGCCAATACTTTTTCTACTTTTACTTGAGTAACATTTTGATTGCAGGACTTTCACTTGTAACAGAGTAGTCCTACACCAGGGGTGTCCAAATGCGGCCCGCGGACCATTTTGAATTGGCCCTCAGCAAATTCAAAAAGTATAATTAATATATGGCCCACAAATTAAACATCTACTATTGTACTTCTTAAAGATATAAAACAGTATTCATGTGTTTAATAAGCCCAATGTTCGAATAAATTCAGTCAATTCAAGTTGAAAACATTTTTTAACAAATCTTAGTTGATAAGAAAAAAGCCCAATAACATATTTACATAACAACCTTGAAATATACTCTTCATATTTCCTCTTATGATAAGCAATTTGAGCCTCCTGTTTTAAGGGATGAGCTGCTAACTCAATAAACGAAACCCTATGGAGAGCTGTGAGAGTTGTTTTTTCATCAATATCAACCATAATTTACCTCAATTTGATTGATTTTTCTATCTTATAACTTATGAGGCAATATACCTCATCTCTAGTTAGCGGCCCAGCCCTTCGTATATTTGTCTGTATGTGGCCCTCGGTGAAAAAAGTTCTTGGCCTTACCGAGCATGTCTTCCAGATCTCGCTTATGAGGTCGGTTTGGACTGTAGAAAAAGCCCAGCTCCCCACATACCAAGTAGAGGGCGTCCGCCAGGTGGGAGCCGCACAGGTGGAGGGCTGGAGCAGAGGACACCCCCCGAGAGTAGAGTGCCAGCAGTAGCAGCATGGACACTGCATATGGTACACTAGCCATAAGAGGCACTCCTATAGAAAAAAGTACATTTGATAAAAATTGTATATGCTTGGTTCCTCCAACGGATTCAACCAATCCATCAATACTTAATACCTCGAGGATAGATGGTTGAAAGCTAAAAGAAGAGATGTTTAATCAGACGTCTCTTAATGACACACGGGTATTATGAGCCCACTTTCTTTTAATACATTTGGATATAGATATTTTTTTGCGATATTCCTGTGAAATTCTTCCAGATAGCTCCAGGCTTTGAGAGTGTTATAATAACTCAGAGGCGGCTCTGTAGGCACGCAGCAAACCAAAACTCATAAGGGCTTTGAAGTGAGCAGAAAACTGAACAATTCATTATTTTATTGGAAATCAAAGGGCAGGGATGAAAGGCGGCCGAAAAGTCATTGGCTGATATTTGACTCAAATCTCTAAGTCTGACAAACTAGCTTGAGCCATAAGCGGGCAAAGTCAAATATTCAGAAAAGGGATGGGGGCGAAAATTCCATCTGGTTGACCGAGGTTGGCTTCAAGCTGTTATTCACTGGTGATGTCGTAATCGTGGATCTGAATCCCTACAAAAATTGGATATTTTTAAAGTTAAAATTACCCCAGGGCTGTTTGTTATCTTTTTGATCTTGCACATTTTAAAGTGTTTATGTACAAACAGTATTTTAGAGATGAGCCACCCAAGGTTTAATGTTATTTCTACACTGCTCCTTTAGAAGAAAATTGAAAACTGATTTATATTTGATACCTTTTGCTTTCCTTTTATCAAAACCAAATCTGTTACAAAATAGAAAGAATGCTTTGCCCTAAAAATGCATCACCGTGGTGAATACTGTCCTCAAGGTCACTCCATACCTGGCTCGCCGGTATAGCGACCAAGTGCTAAAGAGTGGGAATGATCCATCTAAGATTTCAAAATTGTCATTAGTGTTATTAGTCAAATCGCATTTGTGGTGGATACGCTCCAGAGTTTGACGTGCAGCTCCTGTTTCAAGGTGAAAAACATATTTAGCAGTCATTTGGAAGCTATATAGACCTTTTGTGGACATGTTATAGTACAGCAGATTATTGGATTGAAAATGAATCAATTTAACTGTGTCTTTAACAATGCACCTGTGCCAGGCATTAAAGCATTGGCACAGCACTCTATCTGGCCTGCCACTCCTTCTATCCCTCTTGGCTGTGTGCCAGGCTCCTTGGTTGAATTATAGATCCTGCCTGTGCTACTCTTTACTTTCTTCCCTGGTTATTATTCACATCAATATTCAAAGTTGAAATCTTGAGGGAATACGGAGAGCTGGCTTACCTGTGTGAGAGGCCTCAGTGCAGCAGAGCAGCTGGTAGGTACAAATGAAAAGGGCCCAGGACTATGAAGGTGCAGAGAACTCCACTCCGCTCTCTTTCACTTTTTAATTCTCCACGTCCATCTGGCCTTTATCAGCGTCAGTGGACAACGCTACGGCCCTATCATTAACTCATTGACGTGTAAGCATGTTAATCTGATTCCATGTGGCACTACAGTAAAGTCTTTTTGCGAACAGACAGAAGAGTTAGGACGTAGTTCATAGTGCAGATTATAAGGACTTTTAGGTGCGTTAGTCATCACCCATCACCCATCACCCATCGGTGATGGGTTTCAAGCTGATGCTGATTGAATGTTTCATAAGAATAAAAGTTATGTTTGTCTATCTCTAGGTGTAAAAAATCAACTTTACAAAAATCAGGCAAACATTTAAATAAACCTCACAAATGTTATGTTAGAACAGGGGATTCACTACACAACAGTATTGAGGGTAACTGTGATATTTAAAAAAAATGAAATTGCTATAATATTGGATAACTCAATTGTTTTGTATCATGAGAATAAGGTTACTTTTGTCTATCTCTCATCAAAAAAAAATGCAATCAACCCTGACTATCAGTAAGAAAATGTCATAACAGTAAATTACTAATTTAAAATTATGTAAACCACAAAAATACTACATTAGAATATGGTTTTCACTAAACACCACTAATGATGGTATCAGTGACATTTGAAATATTAAGTTGATATGTCAGTTAGAAACACATGTCAATATCGTGTAAATAATCCAGCGCCTCTTAAATAATTCCCTTTTCTTCCATTATCAATCTTTCTACCTCCCCTTTCACACATGTGCAATTATTTGCAAAAAAATATAATACCAGTTTTGGGATTTCTTTTGTTGGCATTTAACCTTTATTTCATAAAACTCTACAAGCAGAATACTCAGCTATATATATAACACATTGAAAGATTTGATTGCATCAATATTATCATTTAAAAACATATTTTTTTAGATATGAGGATGTTATTATCAATAATTATTTTAGACACTTCAACCGTTTAGTAAAAATCTGACATCGTGGGAGTCAAGGTTCAGAATTCTATGGCAATTTATTTGTATTTTTCCTGGTTGTATTAAATGTGTTTTACATGATGGGGCATTAGTGTATGTCATGATGTTACACAAATGAGGCAATATATACAGATATTCTGTGTTGTCAACACGGATTTGGTCTCCTTTTAAACAAAAATAAATGTATTTCTGGGCAGGTTGTTTTAGTTCTCTTCCCGTAAAGCTTTGTTTTACTGCACAGGTTTTGACTTGTCTCCTGTCATGTGCAGCAGCTGTTCATTTTAATTGTAATGTGCTGATGGTATCTGAGGGTGGGCCAATTTTAGATGAGAGGTGACACGCTGTATAATTTTATGTCAAATGATAACTCAATTGTCTGGCCCCGAGGAAGCAGCACAGCTCTGTACTGCCGCCGCTTTGATACGAGGTACCACTCCATGGACACAGTGTTGTTCTGATGCAGCGCCCTGTAAAAGAACTCAAGCTTTAACAAGTGACTAGAAAAGAGGACTTTACTTGAGTATTTCCCTTTTTATGCTGCTTGTACTTCTACTCCACTACAATTCAGAGGTACATCATTAAATCAGACTTTAGTTCCACCTGGAGTAAATCCACAAGCTACCCTGCAGTACAAGTTATTAAAACTAGCTGCACCTTTACCAGCTTTAATAACACTTTAATGCATCAATAAATATAATCAAAACATATCTAATATATTTGAAATGGACCAATCTGCAGAATAAGTTTACTTTTGGTACTTTAAGTATATTTTGATGCCAATACTTTTTCTACATTTACTTGAGTAACATTTTGATTGCAGGACTTTCACTTGTAACAGAGTATTCCTACACAGTGTTACTTTTACGTTTACTCAAGTACAAGGTCTGAGTACTTCTCCCACCTCTGCATTTTATAACATGTACAAACTCTAAGTAGTTACTTTTAACTAGGCAACATCATAAAATGTTTTATAAAGACCAAACTCATTACCTATTCATTGCGTGTGTAGCAGGTATTCTGTCTCTCAGTGACCTTCAGGGGTCAGCTATGCATTTTCTGGTTGCAGTAAATAGAGGAGCATGGTCATGAGATCAGCTGAACTGTCCTAGGAGCAGAAATCATTTCCTCCTTAAAATGGGTTGCGTTCCCCTTTAAGCTGTCATCGCGGCATTGGATTTACAGGCATCCAGGAGCTGCATGCTCACCTTGAAAATGATCCAGTGGCCAATAAATTCCAGTCCATTTTAATAAGTGAGACAGATTTCTGTAATTATATGTAACCCGAAGAACTCTTGATTGATAGAGCTATCACTTGTAATAGACTTCAACTCCTGCAGCTCCTGGACCCCGTTACATGATATACGTTTAATTAAGATATGTTATGAAAGGCAGATCTAGATTAGCATGCTTCCATGCCAGCAAGGATGTGCATATATTATGTATGTATGTGAGAGATCTTAACAAAATCTAATTTCTGTTATGTTTAGTACAGGGGTCAAGCTTTTATGATGGCTTTTTGTATCTGAAATTCTAGAACAAGACCTCTGCCACCTCGCCTCTTGAACCCAATTTCTTATTTTTGCCGGAACATTGCATTAGATGTTGTTCAAATTAATGGGGTGTTTCAAATAACAACAGCATATGTTGCTATGTGCGTATACAATGTTAGATTTAAGAAAAAGCTGGGAACTCCTCTCATCTGCATCTTTCACACTCAGCCGTCATACCTGCATTCCTCTCAATGCCTTTTTATTCCTAACCTACTTTTTTAATCTAATGGTATTGGCATTTCAATTGTGTTCCCTCCTAAGCCATGTTTGTACCCTTTTTATATTCTTTTACGAACCATACAGCCTATGCTCTCAGCCTATATAGTACTTTAAAGGCAGATTCAAGACAGAAAACCAGAGGCAAAAGTTCTCAAGTGGACATTTTCCCCAGCAACCGTTGGAGACTAATTACCCCAAGTTCAACTTGAGGAAATCAAAGCTGTATCTAATGAGTGTACTGTAAAAAAATCTTGTGACCTTTTAGCATTTTTGATGTATAATAAAGCAGAAAAGGATCAAATACTCCTATTATACATAAGAAAAAGCTCATCACATTAGGATTTAGGTGTGTTATAGCGACCTGTATGGTCACAGAGAAAAGATCATCATGTAAATGTTCCTCCTATGACATGTCATAGCTGAGGGTCAGGTCTTTCAAAACCTGAAAGTAAAAAGTAGTCCTTTGGAGGAATGATAAAAGAAAGAAGTAGGAAAAAGCCATCCAGCCCCTTGGCAGTGTGATATTAAGACGGTGTTTAAATGTAGAACCAGGAAAGGTCCAACTTTGCCATGCTTTGAAAGTCGTTCCTCCAGGGAACTGAGCACAGCGGACAGGGTTGCAAACAAAAGGCACATCCTACTCGCCCGGTCACATGGCTGCATCAAACACCCACATCAAAATAGCAGAGGCCCTGGCAGAACGCCCTCGTATGCAGAGATAGACAGAAGTTGGGTGGAAAGTCGGCTGGGTCCCCTAAGGTGGGAGTTGCGTAACTCGTCTTCTCTTCGACTGCGTTGAGGAGATAAAAGGGAGTGAGGAGTTCAGCCCAGTGAGATGCTGTTAATCTGCTCTGAT